ATCATGTGAAACAATTTGCAGATGTTTCACAACACTTCCTTCCACACTGACAAGAACTACACTGGAACACTTCAGTGCCCTTTTCTGGTTGGGTGCTGGAGTTTTTGTTTTGGGTTTTTGTTTTTTTTTTGTTTTTGTTTCTCTTTTCTTTCATAATAGCAAACAATTCTCTAAATTCAGCACTTACCAAGTCATTCTCTACCAAGAAGGAAGAAAGATCCACCAGAACCCACGTTGGGATCATGAAGAACACAGCGTGGCACCCGAGGATGTTCAGCAACCGAAGATGATGAATTCGGGAATCTCTCAACACCTGACAAGAACCAATATTGAACAGCAGGTCAGGAAACAGAAACTGCTTTAGGGGACAGGTAAGTTAGGGAAATAAATAAATATCCTTATAGCATTAATTTCCTGTTAGAATGACATATGAAAAACTGACGGCTCTTTGAAAAATAATGTTTGTTTGAGTGGTGGCTCTTAGTATCAAACAAGACATTAAAATTAATAGCTCTATAAAACAGAAACCATTTTGTAACTAAATAGAGCCAAACCACACACTTTAATTTTGTTACTGTAGTTTCAAGGAGTGCCCAGTGTTGACAATGACTTGTTCAGCACAGAGGAATGATTTGATATAACAAGATACATTAAATGAACTGTTCAATTTAAGCACTATTGAATTGCCATCAGAAAAAAAAAAAAAAAAAAACATGTTGAAGAGTAAAGAAAAAGCTCAGGATAAACTCAATGCTTCAACAGGTAGGAAGAGCTGCAGAGAAAACACACACAAAAAATAACAAATAAACAACAAACAAAATAACCATCCCTCTGAGCTTGTCTGGCTGCAAAGTGAAAAAAAATACATTTATGTAATTGAAAAGACACCCCATCCTGCTGAAGGGTGAGCCAGTGCTGTGAACAGAGCTGGTACCTTCTTTGAGAAGATGTTCTGAAGTGAAAAGCACAGGGTAGCAGCAAGTGCACTGATGAGCCCCCACATGTCAAAGGACAGCTCTGTGACCGTGGCCAGCAGGACACCAGTGATGATGGGGATCAGAGACAGGTACACCTGCAGCAGGGACAGAGGGGTAAATTGCATCTGCTAAGAATTGTCAACCGAGTTTATACATCCTGCTGATTCAGGGATCAACCCTTTTACTACTGTAGTTCAAGGAAATTTAAGTCACTGCAGTAGACACTGACAACTCCAGAGCATCGGACAGCATCACCCTGGACATTGTTTAGATGTGTTTTACACTCACAATAAAAGGAAAAGGGATTTTTCAAATCTGCATAATCTAATTCCAGTCACAAAATCCACCCCAAAACCCGAGCTCTGCTGCCCCCAGCCAGCGCAGCACCTCCAAGAAAAGAAACCTCAGCAAACCTGTCCGCACCTTCGTCGTCTGCTTTTCCTTCATGATGATCCGTGAGAGCAGAACCACCCAGATCGGCATCGTGGCTTTCACTGGGGACGGCAAGAAAACATCGCTGGGGACGTGGGACAGCTCCAGCAGCCAGCACGAGCAGAGGGATGGAGCAGGGCTCAGCCAGGCCCAGGATGGATCCTCCCTCCCTCTCCCTGTCCTGGACACTTGGACCAACTGGACCTTGGTGCTCTGGGCACCCACAGGGCACCCACCAGGGCACTGCCCTTGGATCCGGTGCCAGCACACACTGGGGACAGGGGCACAGCTCTGGGAGCCTACAGAGCACACAGTGAGCACTGGGACAGCACACTGGGCACCCAGAATACACTGTGAGCACTGGGACAGCACACTGGGCACCCAGAGCACACAGTGAGCACTGGGACAGCACACTGGGCACCCAGAGCACACTGTGAGCACTGGGACAGCACACTGGGCACCTGTACGAGCACAGAGTGGGTACTGGGACACTGCAGTGGGCACCCAGAATACACAGTGAGCACTGGGACACTGCACTGCATACCTGTATGAGCACAGAGTGGGTACTGGGACACTGCACTGGGCACCCAGAACACAAAGTGAGCACTGGGACGGCACACTGGGTGCCTGAATGAGCACAGAGCAGGTACTGGGACACTGCAGTGGGTGCCCAGAGCACACAGTGAGCACTGGGACGCTGCACTGGGTTCCCGTATGAGCACACACCGGGCTTCAGGTCACCCCACCGGGCACGAATCCACGCTGGCCCCCGGGACACCCCCGCGGGCACCTCCGCACGGGCACAGCCGGCGCTGGGCCGTCCCCCCGGGCCCCCGCAGCCTCACCTGTGTGCGCGTAGGACACGGGGACCCTCCAGAGCGAGACGTGCGCGGACACGGAGGCGAAGTACTTGCCGAAGGCGAGCGGGAGGATGTAGCGGGGGTAGGCGCGGGGCGGCAGCTGCGCGGGGCCGGCGGGCGGGACGCGCCAGGCGCGGAGCAGCGGCGGCAGGAGCCCGCACAGCCCCAGGATGTGGAACAGCGAGACGGTGACGGGCCGCGGGAAGCCGCCGAGCAGCAGCTTGTTCACCACGTTGCCGCCGGCGCTCAGCCCGTACCAGGCGAGGCACAGCGCCGACACCCGCGCCCCCTCCCGCAGCGCCGGCCCGCGCCCGCCCCGCGCCGCCCCCGCCCCGGGCCCGGGCCCGGCGCCGCCCGGAGCCGCCAGCGGCGCCGCCATCGCTCCGCAGCCGCCGCCGAACGTCAGCGCGGCCGCCAGCGCGTCGCTTCCTGGGGCGGGGCGGCCGCGGCGGCCCCGCCGCTCCGGGCGTCACTTCCTCCGCTCCGCCCGGTCCGCCCCGCTCTGCCCGGTCCGGCTCCGCTCTGCCCGGCCCCGCTCCGCCCGGTCCGGCTCCGCCCGGTCCTCCCCGCTCCGCCCGGTCCGGCTCCGCCCGGTCCGGCCCCGCTCCGCCCGGTCCGGCCCCGCTCCGCCCGGCCCCGCTCCGCCCGGTCCGGCCCCGCTCCGCCCGGTCCGCCCCGCTCCGCCCGGTCCGGCCCCGCTCCGCTCGGCCCCGCGCCCGCCGCCCCGGCCCCGCCGCGGGGCGATGGAGCCCGAGCGTCCCCACTCGAACCGGGACGCGGCGCTCGGGGCAGCGCCGGGACTCGGACACCGCCGGGACTCGGACACCGCCGGGACTCGGACACCGCCGCGCCGGGCACGGACGGAGCGAAGGTCACGGGCGCGGAGGCACCGAGACCGTCGCTCCCGACCTTTAAAACCAACGGCAGGAAACGAGCGCCGGCCGGGGTAAAGGATGGGTGAGTACCTGGCAGGCAGGAGGGGTTGGTGTAGAGCCCGGTTCGTCCATGCACCCTGTCAAGAGACATTTCTACAGAATTAATTTGCCCATAAAACCACGCATTTTAGGTAATGGCGACTCCCCAGAGATTTGTTGATGAGCCATTTCATGTCATCTGTTGACGGGGAAGAAATGGCAGTGTTTTACAGGTTCTAGGATTAGAAGGAGAAATTTTGCAAGAGGTAGGAGAAGGCAGTAGCAGAGAAACTGAGTCATGCACAAATGAGAGTACACAGCAGGTACGCACATGGTAAACTTCATTTGAACTTGTTTACAAAATTGACAAAAAAATATCACCTTGTAAACTTATTCACATTTGTTGGAGCTCACAGAACTGGTTATACTGGCATGCTGAAATAAAGATTGTCAAGCCTCATCTCACCCTGGAGGACACACATGTGAGTTGAACCCTTACAGCAGCAACAAACTCAGCAAGGAACAAGATTTAAAGCTTGCATTGGGAGGGAATTTCTCCAGCAGTTTTTGTACCACCAGGGAAAGGGCTGGGTCTGATTCCTGGTGCTTCCTCCAGGAGAGGAACACCAGCACAGGCAGTTTGGGTGGAATCTGAAAGCTGTGATGAGCTTCGGGTATCACCTCACCCAGTGCAGTCAAGGGCCATCAATTGCATCAGAAATGGAAGCGGTGGAGAAAAAGATGGAATTTATCAAGTAAAATATCATTATTTCCTGAATTCAAAGGCCTCCAAAGAGCACGGACCCTGTTCCTAAATGGGACCATACAGGGAAGGAGGGAGGAAGGGCAGGGGGAGATAAGATGCACAGTACTTTTTTACATAAACAGAACTTAAGCGTTTCCAAAATGACCAGCAGCTTAGCCCTCTACCATCACATCTGAACTGCAAGACAGAAACTTGCCCCAGCTCTAAACCACACTGCTCAACCTCAGCAACTGCAGAAGGACAAAATGGAAGTAAACTGAAAATATACTTGGACACATTTTTTGGTAACCACTTCTGGTTTCACTCTCAGACCTCAGATTTCAGAAATGGAAGCACACAGACATTGTTGTTTCTGAGATACCCACACATTTCAGTAACAGTCAGATCATAAATTATGAACAAGATTGACTTAAAAACAAACCAGACTTCATCAGTTGTATTCCAGGGAATGGACCAACAGAATGCTGGCCTGGCCAGGAGCACCTTCCTTTGAAAGTCAGGGAAGAGCTTGACTCTACCCTCAAAGGCAGGACAGCTCTTGCCAAGGCTCATCTCCAGCACAGATGGGTTAACAGAGTTAACATCACTAAACCCAGGAATATTTTTGGTATAGAGTCCCCTCCCCGACCCCCTGAACAAAAGCCCAGCACTGGGGACTGCATCAAACAACACAGTCCCAAATATTAAAGCAATTACAGTTAATAGAAATCCTTCACTTTCTACACCCCAGGCTGCTTCAGAAAGCACTGTAACAAATAGGAACAAAACATTACAAAGTTGAAATCTGATCTCTTTAGACTTTGAGGTACATTATCAGCAGTTGGGTTATCAGTCTCCAGAGTTAAAACAGATCCACCCTGTGTGACTGGAGAGCACACCGAGGTTCTTGGAAGACAATCCCGTTCTCCCTACCAGCAGTGTCCGAGGGATTCGGCTCCACCTCCCTGCTCCGAGGGGTCCCCAGTGCCAGGGCTCCCCTGGCTGGGCTGAACTGAGCAAACTCGGGGGGGGGGAAAACGAGTGGAGTGTACATAAATAATTCACAAACTGGTTTGTGCAAATTTTTTTTATTTCCACATTTATATCACAACGTGTCCACTTAAAGGACCAAATAGCAAAGTTGCTCCCTTCTGCATCCCAGGAACACAGAAGTCTAGTTACTGTACATTCACTAAGGCTCTTTGTTTTTGCAAATTGCGTTTATGATGGATATCCATAAGGCAAACAATATCTAAAGGAATGGTAACAAGTATATTTCCAGCATACAAACAGGCTTCCTTTTTCCCTCTCACAGTACAGTTACAAACTTGTAGCACCCTCATTACATTTAGATTCTAGAAAAGGTGATTTTTCTTTTTTTTTTTTCTTTCTGTCTTTTTGGTTTTTTTTTGTCTTTTTGTTTTTTACCTATAAGTTTGCAGGAAGGGAAAAGGAGGAAAAATATTTGGCTGGTGGTGGTGGGATCAAAAAATATCATTAAACATCTAGTTTTTGCAGCATTTCTCAGAGACTGGATTTAAACTGAAACCAGACTAAAATATGTGGATGCCTATGGAATGTTGAGCTGAAGCTGGTGGCCCAGCCTGCAGTGCAACACCTGCTGTTTAAAACCCAATCTCCGTACCACATGACTCTTAACTCAATCATGTTCAGAGATGTGATAGAAATAAAACTACAGTTTTTGCACATTGTCTCTCGAATATCTCACTGCCAAATAAAAACCCAAATCAAGTCAAATAAATAGATGCATATTTTGTTAAGGTAACTTCCAAAATTTTTCTCTGTACCTGCCTGTAATAAGATTCCGGCATTCAGAAAGTGCTGGAAATCCTCTTCACTTCTTGGGGACTAACACTTTTTATAGCTGGCTTGCTATAGAGTTTTGAACTCAACTGATCAAACCTTCGTATGCCTTCCTTTGCAATTGTTAGTAAACTGGTAGCAGCATTTCACAAAAGGAGAATTTAAAGGAACGAGCTGGAAAGGCCCAGCTCCCTCCCCCCCTCTGCTCGTGGGGCCTGTTTGTCCAGGACAGGAGGCTCTCTCCAGCTGGAAGTGGCATCGTGTCTGCCAGTTCTGCTAAGTGCAGGTGTAAAAAGCGTGCTTAGCAGAACTGCTCTCAGTCTAGGCAGACGTAAGGCAGGATGTTCAATCTCCCATCATCCCCGTGTGGATCTAAGGATATGCACTGTGTCCAATCATACCAGTTACCCTGTGTGTCATAACAACCGTTCACGCCTGGCCAGTTGTGGTCACGTATTCTGTCGAGGTCATCGCCCGTGACCTCTCTGGTGACCCCAGGCAAGTCTGTAGGTTTGCTGTTAGGAGCTAGAACGTGAGTCTTTCTAGCCTCTTTTCTAGTGCTTTCCTCCTGCTTTAAATACTCAGACATGAAGTAGTGAGCTCCTGGAGTCTGTACTCCTGATGAAGACAGCAAGCTACTCTGTCTGTTTAAATATGACTGAATGATTTCATTTCTGGACAACTCTTTCCAGTTCGTTTGTTCAAAGGGGCTTTGCAGGTTGGGTTTTTGCTCCTGCTTTTCTGTTTCTGTCCTGTGCTGTTCAGTAAGTGCAGGGATTTCTACCTGCAAAGGATCTTTCGGTGTTAAAGGTTTTATCTGTCCTGTCATGGGATCAAAAGTGAGTTTTCTCTCTTTTAACCTCACAGGTTTCACACCCCCTTCTATCACGTGCCCATCCAAGTTGACTGTATAGTCTCTGGGTCGGTACCTTTTCTTCTTTTTGCTATCAGACCCTGAAGCAGCATCGTCACTGTCCATTCTGGAAGTGTCCTGCGGGAAGCCCACGTGTGATTCCCCGGGATGGGCTTTGCAGCCGGGAGCCGTGTGCTGCTGAAGTGTCCCTGCTGTGTGCCTGTGCTGGCCCTCGGGGGCTCCCTGCTGCTCCTGCCAGTGCTGCGCCGCCTCGGGGGCCGCCTGAGGAGGGAACTCCAGTCTCTTGGCTGGCACGGGAGGTGAGGATGGCTGCATCAGGGATGGCGGCGGCGACGGCACCGGCGCGGCGTCTGCGAACTGAGACCTCTGAGATGGACTGGGCATCGAATCCTTTGGTGAGTACGTGGTGTGCTGCCGAGCAAAAGTATCATGCCTAACGTTCCTGGGGCTAAAGGAGGAGCAGCGTGGGCTCTTGGGCTGGTGGGGGCCCGTGGCTTCTTCCGATTTATCATGTTGCTGAAGCACTGCAGTCTTTAGTAACGAGGAAGTGCTTGAAGGTTTTACAAGTCCTGGAGAACTGGTGTGAGGTTTTACAGCATTTACTGGGATCTTATTGTGTTTATCGTTTTCACTGAGATCTGTCCTGCTGCTTTCAGGCCCTGCGTGTAGGTTTATGTCTACAGGACTAGGAAAATTTTCAGGACTACCTCCAATTCCATTGGTTGGAGGGGGTGAAGAGTTTTGTAATACTTCATGACTAGCTTTGGAGACCTTTGCGGGAGGAGGGCCCTGATGCCCGTCCCTGTGATCACCTTTCCTTTTCCTATTTCCCAGTTTCTCAGCTTTTGGAGAATTTAGTTTCTGGATATCATTCCTGCTTTTCAGTTCGCTGATGGGCTTGGCGCCGGGCACAGCAGGAAGTTGTGAGTCTGGTTTGCAGTTGTGAGCACCTCCATTCGCTGATCCCGGCGGGTTGGGCAGCCCCCTTGGCACCGGCTCGTTCTGGGTTACGGGTTCTATCAACTTCTGCCAATTCCTCAGCAACTTCTTGGCACGTTTGGCAAGTTCCTCATTGGATGTCTTCTTCCTCACCTCATTGATGAGCCTCCCGAGTCTGGTTTCCTACAAAGACAGACAAGGTGGTTTACAAACACGTAGCATTCCAGGGAAAATTCTTAAGGAATGTTTCTGCTTTGTAATGCTCACCCCTGAGAAACACCTGGTTGAAAACACTAAAGATTTAAGTGCTGAATTAATCTTTTTGGAAAGGATTAGTCCAGTGCTCTGCCACGCAACATGAAACTGAGTGTAGGTTTCAAGTCACGCTGTCTTTATTCCCTGGTAAAACTAGGAGAGGTGGGAAAAACATCAGAAAGGAAATCTTTAATGAGAAAAGACCATAAGAATAAGGGTGCAGGTTTAGATTTGAGGGGAAATGCAGCACCCAAAGGTGTATGTTTATCACAAGGAAGTATAAGATCTGAAGAAAGAGAAAAGAACTCCAGGATCTTTGCCTGTTACAGTAACTCGTTAAAAATAAAATGTTCCATTTGACAAACCTGACTGCCAGGTGTGAGTTGTGTCCTACCTTCTTCCTCCACCTCTCTCCTCTCCCTTCACTTCCCAGCCTTGTGGAAACGTATGAAAAAGCCATTTCAACAACATTCACAGGGTGTCCCAAGGTGGTTTAATGAGCGGAAGGAAGTGTTTGATTGTTCCCAAAGCACATTGGAAAACAAAGAACTGTTCCACAAGTTAGATTTCTTAAGAAAAGAACTTCAAAGGAGAACACAGACCAGACTGTGAGAGAAATATGCAACCTGTTGTCAAAGATATGTTGAAATACAGGTGGAGTTGTAATTAAGCAACAGTTACAAGCAAGAACACTCCTAATTTCAATGCAAAGAGTGAAAAAGAAATACATAATTCAGCCATAAAACTTATTTGGACTGTTTCTATGAGTAACCAGTGAGAGTTCACCTCTCCCTACACCTGACCTCACCACAAATATCAGGCCTTGAAACCTGCTTATCTGCATTTAAGATTAATTTTACAGATCCAGAGCAACTCTATTCCTATTTCAGATTTTAGGTGCTTGGTCACCAAACGTCTGCAAAGGTGACCGGAACTGCAGGGTGATATTGCTGAGTGCAAGAGAATTAATCAGTGGCAAGTGATGATTAATGTAGTGCCCTGCACAAACAGGAACTGTGCTGCCCAGAATACTGATCTGGGCCCAGAAAGGATCCCTGTGTTCAGCGAGATGTTGGAAACAGCACGAGAGGGACAAAATAATATCTTAATTGTGAATCCTTTGCAATCCATCTATTGTTTCCAGAAAAGCTCTGATGGAAATTAGAAAGGCAGGGAAAAGTCCTTTTATACACATAAAAAAATCACGTTCAGAGGGTGACATACCTCAAGTGCCTCTTTGGTAATGGGATATTTCTCCAGGCTGGAGATCACTTCCAGCACTGCCACCATGTTATGGATCTGCAACAAGGAAGACAAAGTCACTTCACGTTTCATGTACTGGTCTTAGTTAACAAATGTAATTTAAGACCTTCCACTTTATAATTGCTGGAAGCATTAATCACAAACTGCTATCAGACTGTCTGGCTTTAGGGAGCTGATTGTTCAAGGAATAGGGACAAGGACACTTTTACTGACCTAGTTGGAAACTGCAGGAGCTGTAACAAACACACTCTTATATAAAACCCAAAGAAACAGTGGCAATAAAACTGCTGTGGCTGAGTAACAAAGTTCTGAGACCCCTCTGCAAAGCCTCAATGAACTGTGCACACCTAACGGTGCCAAATGGAGCAGGAGCAGGAATGGGAAAGGTGGAGCTCAATGCTGCAGAAGTACCCCAGCACTGCTCTGCAGTTCCATTCCAGAATCACCTCCTGCACTGCACACAGCCTGCAGGTCCCTCCTGGGCCAGGGCTGTGCCCAGCAGGTGACCCCAGACCACCCCACCACCCCTTGCTGGGGCTGGACATGGGGAGGAGGAACAACCCCACATCCCCTGAAAAGGTGAGGATCAGCTTCTCTGATCACAGCTGTGCATCCTGCACATCCTCAGCACACGTGTGAGTTTAATGGTTTCCATCACAAACCACACACTGCACTGTTTTGGGGGCTTGGTTCAGGAGTAAACATGGCAGTGCTGGGTTGGACTCATTCATCCTGGACTGCTTTTCCAACCCAAACCAGTTTATGATCCTATACAGAGATCCTTGTTTCCATTACCTGATGTTAAGAGTGCTGAAACCTGGAATTTCTAATTCACCTTTGGAGATAGATTTAAAAGATAAGCAAAGGAAAATTTGAATCACAGTCTCATTTATTGCTTAATTGCATTTGTGACTCAACTGGATGTGAAGTGCATGTGAGAAAAATCTCTCGGCAAGAACCTCTGCAGTGATCCCACATCATCCTGAAACCTCATCAGGAGCATCAGCATCATCACCAGGCAACTCTGCCCCCCCAGCCACACATCCCCTGCACGACCCCTCCTCTTAAAAACACTGACTTGTGTGAGAATTGACTTTTCCAAGTTCTACCCCTCCACTGAGATCCCACAGGAATAGCAGAAGCTGAAGTCTCCTCCTTTCAGAAAACCTTGGGCTCAGACCTTGTTTTGTCCATCCCTGCAGGACTGTTTAGTGCTATTTAGGAGTTTAATGTTATTTAGGAGATACCTGGGTAACACTCTCAGTGATGAAACACTTGTCCTGATTTTTTGATTCACTTTTATCAAACTTATGTTTAAAGTCCATGCAGGCTTTGAATGATTCTTACTCCTACAGGGTGTAAAACCAACTCCAGGCCAAAGATGAATTAATTTGTCCTGGTTCTTTCTTCACTCTGCAGATATTTGAAGCCCTACCATGAGGTCAGGCTTGGCAAAACCCTGCTTAACCTTTAGAGCAGCAAGAGCACCTATTCTGACATATTTTAGTTCTTATTATTTCACTTCAGTCCACTGACTTTCTTCCATGTTCTGACCCTTGCCCTGCCCTCAGAGCCCAGGAAGGACAGTTTAGCACCACAGTTCAAGCAATACACAACATCAGGCTTGGCTTTTTCAGTTTTTAGAACCAGAGCCCTTAGAATAGTTAAAGCTCAATTCTGGGAGTTTCCAGACAAATATTTTTAAACTTTCAAAACACGATACTCTCCTTCCCAACACATATTTTAGACTGTGAATTACCAGAGTGAAAAAGGCGCTGTTGCACACGCCATTAACTAGTACAATTATTTTTGCAGTTACTGGTAATCCCCAAATTATTCATTATCTAAACTAAGAACTGATGGCAAAAGAAGGGTCATTGGTCTATCAGAAGATGAAGATGGGGAAAGTGAAACATCATGTGCACACACCCCTGCAGAAAGGTGAAACTGGTCAGGGAATTTCCAGTCACAGCTTTGCCTTTGTTCAGTACCCCCAGGCACACACCAGTGGGTGCCCCAAATGCCAAAGCAGCCCCCCAGCACTGACAGGCTGTGACTTCCCTCCCTGCTCTGGGGGACACGTGGTGCCAATTAAGGACAGTGAAAGTGGCCTTGCACCCTCAGCTCCTGCTGGAACACAAACCACCCATTTTGGATTCCTCACACATTTGTAACCAATTGAGAACGCGCTGTCACGGAACAACTGCTGAGCAGAGCACGAACATCTCACACCCCAGACAACTGCCAGCAGCTCCTCTCATTTTCTTTTTCTTTTTTTTTTTTTGACCTGTAGGGAAGCTTAATTCTTTGAAATTAAATACATAAAATGTTCAAGCACGTTCAACAACTTCTCCTCCCTTCCCTTTGTGTAGTTTTCTCAGCATGTTCCATCCAAGCGGCATAAAGAGAAGCTTACAGTAAAAATCATATTTGCCTATTTTAAAATAACACAGATTATGAAATTTCTTGTAGTGCAGTTAAACACAGTGATGGAAACAAGAGGATCTCCCAAAACACCTCTCAAGTATCACATGTTCATGGGAAGACACTGTAGAGGTAACAGCAGCACACCCATCCTGCACACCAGTGCCTTCACCTTAAACCAACTGCTACAATAAAATTCCCACATTGTCACATAACCAACCTGACAATAATGTTACCAAACCTGCCAGGACAACACCCTGCTTTGAGCAGCACCAGAAACGATCATATATTATCACAAAGGGCTACTGAACAGACAGGTAAAGTGCTGTGGAGCAGAGCAGGACAGGGAATTCAACCCCACTCCCTATGGACACCGAGCTGTAACTGCCCAGGTCAGCAACTCGGGAATTTGCATTTTAGTTTCTATGTGCCTTTGTCTGCTCACACTGCAACCCCTTTAGTACCCCCCAAAACAACTTCCAGGACCCCCAATTAGGAGCTTACAGCAAAAAGCTCAAAATAATTGATAAGTAATTGATAAGGTGTTGCAAATTCTCCCATGCTGCGCTCCTGTTGAGAGCACTGACTGGCACACAGACTAACTCACTCAGAAGTTTACTGGAGAACATCTGCTTTGAGTCATCCACGATAATCCTTTCCAGCCAACCCTAATGACAGCCACAGAAAACAAATCTTATTTATTCCATGCAAGGCTCCTTAAGTCATCCACCCATTCAGCCATACTCTGGAGCTTACTATTGCTGAGATCTTTTCCAAGTTAAGCACTGAATGCTTTTACTCCAGCCACAGACAAAAGCAGGGGTTTCTGAACTCTCAGGAAAAGATCAAGAAGTTAAATTTTCTTTTCTTAACTGCCATCTTAATCTTATTTCAGCATTTATAAAACAGGACTAAGTCAGTGACTAATTTCAGGGTGTTACACAGCAGTTCAAAGGGGTTTTGGGGAAGGTTGAGGTACAGCTGTTCCCGCCCACCTCCACCAGGAAATCTGAAAGCAGCAGCAAGCTCAGCATCCATACAAGCTCTACCACCACGTCCAGGTGCTAGGATGTGTTTTCTGTGGGACCAGCACACTCCATGGAATGTTTTGATTCTCTTCCTTCCCTTACACACCAGCCCAGACCCCAAAACCAATGTGAGCACCCCCAGCACACCTTCCTGTCCTCCTGGTCACTGCCTGGACACACTGCACTCTCTCACTGCAGCCTGAAAAACAAATGTTACAGAAACTTTCTATTGCAGTCACTCAGATAAAGCAATGATTTTCTTTTTTTTTAATATTTCACAGGGATGTTTCCAAAGATCTTTGCATGCCTGACTAGACCATGATAAATGACAAACCAGACCAGAGTTACCTGGAGCAGGAGGAGCAGCTCTTTCTGTGTAACATGAAAAACTCAATGCACAATTCCAAAAAAGCCTTGCTCATGCAGATTCCTGCCTTTCAGATAGAAAAGCTCTTTTCAACCACAAAGTTCAGGTAACAGTGCTAAAAGGCATTGTTTGATACAGTAACATCATCCTTCTGGGTCACATTAATGCCTTCACAAGTTTCTAAACAATACTTAAAATTGGCCTGGAGCTGCCCATCACCAACAAGCCTCTAAAACCATAGTGTGACACAATCATCCTCCTGAAATCACAGTTCACAACAATCACAGCCTGATTCCACCATGGGTATGGTGAACAGAGCACACAGGTATCAAAACACACTGCTCTGGAGAGAATCTATTTGCCATCATACTTAACTACTTCATCAGAATATCCATAAACACTGAAAATTTTGATGGTTTCCAGGAAAGTAGTTCTGCAACACTGTCCCACCTGTAGTACCAAAGCAGTGTGACAGAAGCTAGGAGAGAAGTGGAGGCACTGTGGGAGACTGAGCAGGTCTTTTTTCTTCCTACAAACACAAATCCAGGTGTCTATTGCCAAGCTGGAGGTTTCTGGTAGCAGTAAGGTCCAGACAGAAGTTCACAAGAGCATGTGTACATTTGTTGTCTTCCCCCTGCTCCAGGGCTGTGTATCTCCTCAGGGAGTGCAGGAAAATGCTGAAGAAAATCCCAGGTTCAAGGTGAATATTGCTGGAGAGGCCAGGGAGGCAGAGGTGATTCCCAGGAGGTGCAGTGCCTGCTCCAGGAGTGGTGGCATGGCTGGTGTTCCTTCTCTTGGAGCTCTCAGTGTCACCTGCAGCCCAACAGCAGCTCCTGCCCCAGACAGGGTCCCCCCTCAGTGTCACACCTTGCCCCAACACTGCTTTTGTAGAAAAGCTACTTCGCTGCACAATAATCTAAATTACGGAATAAAAAGTGAGGAGGGACAAGTTGCTATTCACAGGAGGCTTTATTTAAATGTGACAACAGCAATACAGCGGTGCAGAGTTTATTTAGCACTTTGTGTAGGAACTATGAGACACCAAACACTGACAATACACACCACCAACAGAAAATTGCCAGGTCATTTGTTCAAAGGTACAGACCAAACATACCAAGTTAGAATTCAGGTTACAACCTGCTGGTATTTAGTTCAGTTCCCTTGCAGCTGATCTATTAACAGTTCCCCCTAGCCCCAATGTGACACGATGTTGTCTAAAGATAGGGAACACGAGATACTATTCACAGACACAACATACCAAAAAGATGACCATGCACTACTTTGCTCACATTATTGAAAATGTCTCAAAGTCAGTTTGCCAAGCAAAGGTCCAATATTAACCAGTACACAAAAGATACTCTTAAAGGTGGAGGCCAGTTTTCTAATAGTATTTAGTAAAACAGATCTTTAAACATGAAGGAATCAATTATTTGGGTTGAAAGTCATTCACTAGGAGAATCTTCTATGACAGAGAAATTCATGCTTTGAAAACTGATCAGAAATTTGTGCTGCAAAACAAGGGGTAGAAGAAATGCTCCTTGAGTACCACAAACAGTCCAGAGAGTGACCAGGCACAGGAAGGATTATCCACACCTCCAGACCTAAAACTCCCAGGTCTACTTTAAAGAGTCAAACCAATCTGCACATATTTTATTTGTACTTGGGCTTCATTTAATAGCAAAGCAACATCATCCTGTACATGCTTTACAAAGCCAGGATCATCAAAAGAGAGTAAGGTCAGATTCCAATACAATTCCACAGTGCAAAGAAATCGGTGGGCCTGAAATATTTCCCCTGCTCCCTCCTGGCAGTGCCCACACACATCCCTGAGCTGGGCATCCCACAGCAGCCAAGAGAATGAGAGGAGCTTGCCAGCACAAAGCACAGTTTGCCCTGGCACTCACAAAGGGCCTCCAGACACAAATGCACAGCAGCTGGGAGTGCCATGAACACTCCAGCTCTTCTCTGCATGGCCCATTCCCAGGGAGGCACCCAAGGCCCCTGGCACAGCAGGAACAGACTCCAGGCTGGGCCAAGGCAGGGGAAACCACCCAACAAAAGGAGCATCCATCGGAGGAGGATGGTACAAGAGGTAGTAAAACACAGACTATGAAGACAAGACACACCCCCAGTTCTCTGTGCTACAGGAAAAGGTTTTTAAGGCAAACAGAAAACAGCAACAGTGGAACACTTTTCTCCATTCACGCTTATTAGCTAGTAACTGAAAGACATTTTTGTTACTACAAAGAGAAATACCTGTCTGTCAACTTCAACAGTTACTAAACATTTTGTATAACACCACAGAATCATGCCTGTAGTGACAGCCCTGAGCTGCAGATGTACAGAGGAGATTCACTGCAATATGACCCCCAAACAAACCCACCCCACCAGACTGTGAAGCTGGACAAACAAAAATTCATTAGCCTGATTTTAAAGAACCCAGCAGCCAAAGAGGCTACCTGAAATACTATTCAATTGGCAAAAATTCCTGCTGAAGGAACAGAGCAAGAGCCAGGGAGCACAACCCCGGGCAGCCACTGCCACTCCTGGTGGCATCCACCACAGCACACTGCAAGCAAGATCATTTAGTGTTGTTTTCCAGGCTGTAAGGAATGGCAGAGGAATCAAATTCAGCTGGAATTACACCTTCATCTCAAGCTGCAACAGTGCAAGAACAACATACACCAAGAGGAGGTCAGAGGACAGCAGGATAAGCATGTTTTGAAATAAAGTTGAAGTTTTCATGCCACAGTATTGAAAAAAATAGAAAAGGGACACATGAAGCTTGAAATAAACCTTCTTATGCGTTATTAGTCATAATAAAGAAATGTTAATCAACTGTTTTTATGCTCACTGGCCTAATTTGCAACAAGACAAATACTGATTGCATCTAGAAACAACCAGTGAGCTACCAGTGCACTCAAATAATCTCTCCACAGTCTTCTGAGCCACTATGGAGGTTTAAGAAGAGATTAGACAAGTCCAGAAGGAGGTGTTTCATGAAGGTGATGGACCACATGAAGTCCCTTGCAGCCATGCTCCTACACCTGGGGAATGACACTGAACTAGAAGGAGCACAAACACATCACACCCATTTCCAGCTACTCCAAACTAGACTCAGAGCAGCAATTCAGAATTGTCCTCTCAAAAAGATCCGTACAGGTAACTCTAGGACACAGCTTGTATTGTAAAAGACCTACAAATTCAACACTTCCAACCTCACTGCCCCAGCAATGTGCTTCATGTGGTCCCAAAAGAAATGCCCAAAAATTCTCTCCCTGCTCAGGCTCCGTCACTGCTCCCTGTCACCATTTCAGCCACCTCACACTCACCCTCACAACCCCTGCACTGGTGCTAAGCACATCCAACTATGATACAGCTTCCTTGTCTGCAGGATAAGCATTTCTCCTCCTCCTGCCCCTGTACAGAAACTTCAACCAAACAAATGTGAGTAGTTACTATTTATTATAAACCATAAACTGAAGTCCAAAATTACTGCTTCAAAATTTAGAGAGCCATAAAATGAGGTTGCCATGCAAGCAAAGTCACAGGAACAACTGGTCCTACTTCAACAAGACAGAAGTGCAGTTGGATGATTATTTAGGCAGAATAACACAGAATATGTAGAAAATCCAGCCTTAAAATGTGCCCCTTCTGATTCATCATAATCTCGGGGCTTTCTGCTTAAGGAACTCCCTGAGTTAAAGTAAGAGCACAGTGAGGTATCACAGGATCCCTACAGGCATCACTTGGGCAGAACCATCTGTGACCACCTACTCCATCTTCATTCACTCCAGAGAACTGGTGGACATTTAAAATCATGTAATGTGCATTTAAGGACTTGATAATAACGGATAAAGCTTTGTGAAGCTCCTAAATATTATTTTACCCATCCCTTGAAGTATCTACTCAGAGCTGTTAAACAGAGAGCAGTTTATATCTGAGTGCAGTTCAGAAAGGTCCTACTAATGTCCCCACAACACAGAATTTTCACTCTTTTTCAAAAAGCAAAAACATTTATCACCATATCAGTGTACTTTAAATGCAGCAGGCCAACTTTTTTCAAATTTCTAGGGAAGTTTCTCAGCTGATTGCTTAAATGATAGAAGAGACTGAGCTGAATACAATGTTGAATTCTTTGTGGAATTTTTTTATTAATCACACTGAAGTGCAAGATACTCATGTGACTGCTCATGGTGTGTTTGTTCACAAAATCTGAGAAAAATAGCATTACAAACTGGGAGAAGTTTGTGGAGAAGTCACTCTACCTTTCAACAACTGTTACCAATAGTGAATTCTTGTCAGCACACACCATAAACAAGTTTTATGGATATGGAAAAAAAAAACTGAAATCAAGTTACACATCTCCTAGAATTACTGCTCTCCAAATTCTAGATTAAACACTGCTGCCACTCAGCCATTTCCAAATATCTCTGTTTTCTGAACGCTGTGTCACCTCAGGACAATGTCACCTGTCAGGAAAGCAAAGCCCCCCAGTAATCCCTGGAGAATATCTGGCCATTCTAGCCACTGGCACAATCCTTAGCAGCTCCTTGGAAACAAAATGCCTTCTCTACCTTTGGCTGGGAATAAAAGTCTTCCCTGGAGGAAGGTGAGCATGGAACCTTCTCAGCTCAGGGTTTGTAAAAGCAGCCCCATGTGGTCATGGCAGGACCAAGGAACACAGTACTCATCTGCATTTTTTAAATATTTAAACACAGAACATGGAATTATGGAATCCCAGAGTGGTTTGGGTTGGAAAGGACCTTAAACCCTACCTCATTCCACCGCCCTGCCATGGGCAGGAACACCTTCCACTACCCCAGGCTGGTCCAACCTGGCCTTGAACACTTTCAGGGATAGGGCAGAACATTCATGAAGCTCCAACCTGGCCTACTTATTTCTAACCTAGTGGCAAAAAACTTCTTAATTTCCAGTTCAGAAAGCCCCAGTGAAACTTAAAACAGTGAAACTTAACTTAAGCTTAAGCCTCCTGGCAGCCTGTCTTGAAAAGTCCAGCAAAGAGAATACCAAGTCAAAACCCCTAAGCTCCTATTTTGACAGACAAACTTTTCCTCACAAGACAAGGGACACTGAGTTTTCCAGGATGCAGCCAGGCTCCTGAGCAGTGTGCTCAGCCAATGAGCTGCAGGCACCCACCTTCACAAATAAATCTGAAACATCACCTCTTGCATCTTCTCCTCTACCTCACTGTGCTCAACTCTGTTCAGAATCAACTGTGGATTAAATACAATCAACTCCAAGGATTAAATACAATATTGGAATATTATTTTTTCCTGGACCTTTCAGGATGACAAGTTATATAGAGACATTCCCTGTCCTTTCCTGCTGCAGTTGATTTACAGAGCACGAGAAATGTTACTGTACTGACCTGCTCAGAAAGTGATGGCTTGAGTTACAGACATTCATAGATGTGCTGGAATTTTGTTCACCAAAGACAATTTAGCACTGTGCATCACCACCCTGAAAAAACACCGTGTTCCTCTACCTTCCACAGCTCTACACTCCTTAAAAAAACAAAAAATCAAACCCTCCAAACCTGTACTATAACTGTGATACTCTGCAAGCTGATCCTGCATGGAAACTATGTGAGAAAGCAGCTCCACAGAAGCTCTGGCTGTCACTCTGAGACACGACTTCCACCTCTGCACAGTCGTCTCCACAGCTCAAAGTTTGAAAACACGCCCAGCTGAGTGTGTCCCTGAATCCCTTGGATGCAGGATCCCTCCTCCCCAGCTGCTGGGTTAGTTAACTCTGCTCACTAAAACAGAGCTAATTATGTTTTACTTCCAGTGACTCCTCAGCAGAAATTGCTACCACTGACTGTTTGGACATGCTGAAAATTGTACACTTTGATATTAACAATCACACTCAGGCACGCACTGCTGCCCTGTGAAAGCCATGCTCCTGAAAACACCAATTCGCTGCCGAGTTTTAGCAGATTGCACCTCAAATTAGAGCAATTTGCTGGCACTTAAATATTATTCCAAACACCAAAAGCATGAATTACCCACAGAAAGAGTAATTTAGCTGTTAGAACACTGAATAAACAAATCTACATTTACATTACACTGAATGTGAGGCACTTACTTACCTTTACCTTAAATTGTTTCTTTAAAGACCAATTGTAAAAGTGGGGCCACATCCTTCCACATTATACAGACCGAAGGAGTATATTTGGTGTTATCACCAAGCACGTAACTGGTGAGAAGAGATAGCAGCAAAATGTTATCAGCCAAAACAGACATGTTTTTATGTAAAAAAACTACACTGACATTAATTTTAACTCTAAGCCTAATGTATTGGAGTAACTAGGCCTTAAAAGCAGTGAATCTTGACTAACATCAAACTTCTGCAGCAGGCAGAATCAATTCCTCCTTCCCCTCTCCTGAAACTTATGTGGTTCCTGAAAAAAAAAGAAACACTAATTGCCACCTGGAGCAGCTTCTTGAAGAAACTGGGAAAGGATCTCACAGGGAGAGAAAGCTTCAGCTGCAGTGGAGCTACTTTGATCAGGAGCCAAAGGTGCCAGAATGACAGTGCTGTTATGTGGCCACAGCAAAACCCCAAAGAGAGGCAACCACGCACACTTCATCACCCCTGAACTGGGCTCACCCTCATCTTACTGGACAAACCCCCCCACAAAAAAGACAAATTGGAATTCCCAGCCCAGCCCCAGACTTCTCAAACACAGCCTAAGCTGAACATCTTCCTATTTCCTAAGGCACAGGTTGGGTCCCTCTCCAGGTGGGAGCTTTGGAGTGTTTTCCC